ATCTAATTTTCTTGTAAAATTTTGTTTTGTGAAATTAAAATAGCAATAAGTGCTCACATTACTAATTTTTAGTTTTTAACTTGTGTGGTTAAAATGGTCTTTGGTTTACAGGCTTCCCTCTATATTACCCAAAGGGCTTGACACTGACTTGAGCAAACACCAACTTCTAGCAAGAGCTTCAACTTCCCAGGATGTGTTGCCTGAGCCAACTTCTGCAGCTTTTGTCAAGCAGAAAAGTTCAATAACCCTTGCATCTGATGGTATATTAATTTTTTTTTCTCTTTTTTTTTATTTTCTACTTAACATGCTTGTGATTTGTGGGTTGCAATAATATTATTGATTCTTATACCATTGTTAATTGTGGCAAATTTAAGAAGGGAAGCGGGAATCTGTTGGTAATCCTGTAGCGAATCGGCTTCCTGAAACTCAAGCATCCAGCAAGAAAGATTTGCGTTTTAGGACATCATCTTTCAGTGAGGCTGCTGTTTCAGAGACATCATTCATAGACATGCTTAAGAAACCAGTTCTCCCAGAAGCTGATCCATTAAATGGAGCGGCTTTGGAGTCATCTGATGTTGCTGCACCAGCTGGGCGAAGTGGCAAAAAGAAAGGGAAGAAAGGAAGACAGATTGATCCTGCTCTCCTTGGCTTCAAAGTTTCTAGCAACCGGATCATGATGGGTGAGATCCAGCGGCTTGAAGATTGACCAAAACAAGTTGTACATTGCGTGTAAATTTTCTTCCACTTGTACAGTTGTTTTTAGAATTCCTCAATTTATATTTCTCATGTTTTAGTTTTGAGATGGAGCAATTTAGTTTGGGATACCTGTTTGCCATTCACTATGAATAGTGTAAATGAGGAAGTAAGGCATTGGTGTGTGTATGGAACAGAAATTTTTTTGTAGGGAGATCATACAATAATGAAAGGAATAATCTCTTTTTAATTCATTGTATTCTCTTCGGTCCTGGGCAATGAATCCTTTAATTTAATTTTTACAAGAACAATGTGAACAACTGTCACAGGTGTTGTCGAGATTGTATCTGCAACAACATTAAAGAATGGGACTGTAATATGCATGCCCATTTTAAAGATACATCAAGGTTTCTTCCACTAAAACCTTGTGCATTTTCTTATTTGCTCCTGTTGTCGCAGTTGTCCATATCTTGTGTAATCATTCTCCTTTTCTATAGATAGCTCAAACCTCTCGGCCAATGAATCCTCATCTCTCATATCCTTTTGAATTAACACTCGTTTTCTCTGTATAATTCTTTTTAGTATTAACTGTTTTATATCTAGGATTAAATCAAAGTTCACACTTTCCATTTCCGCCAGGAAATGGGACATACACAGATTTTTAAAATCGTTTAGAGGTCACTAAAGAGGTGAGATTGGCCTTCGCTCTGCATATTGTAGACATAGCTTACACTACCTGAAACAAAACTGAGTTGTATTTTTCACAGTAGAAATGACCTCAGATTCAGTTCAACTGATGTTTTGGCCACATGAAATGCATACAATTACTCTTTATTGTTACATTACTAAATCCAGCACTGACGTATTGACCACCGTCAAAGCCTTATCATACCAATAAAACGCCCGCAAATATTCAGTGTATTATCAGCGGCAAAGTTTCTGTCCAACACTGTTGGAATCGAGAAAATTTTCTTGCACTGCCCGTAGCAATTGTAAAACAGGCTCTGGTTGTGAAGATGAAGAAAGCAATGCTAATAGTTCAGTAGATATAACTTGCAACATTGATGGTGAGGTTTTCTCAATCCATTTTATATGTTCAATGGCAATTTGAACCTCTCTATCATCAGCTAAACATTTCAGCAAAATTACATGGGAGTCTGAATGTCCTATATCAGGAGTAAGACCATGAAGGAACTTAGTAGCAACAAGAAAATGACCTGCATGGAGCATAGGAAAGATATATAGTAAACCTTCATGTATACATATAACCTCTCATAAAAAGCAAGTACTGGGTAAATATTGCCAAAATCCAATCAGAAATAGATTTAGAAGAAGAAAGGTAATTATAGCTGTAAAGAAATACGCGATAAAGTTCATAAATACAGACCTTTACGACAGAGAGAAAGGATAAGTGTGCTCAATATACTGCGAGCCAGCTTTGTGTCCTGATTAACAGACTTGTGAAAGACTTCAAAAGCAGCTTGAAAATTTGTTTCTTGACAGAGGCCTTCGAGGAGGGACATATAGGTTGTAGTATCGGGTGTCACCCCTTTTGTCAACATATGGTGAAAGAGCCTCAAAGCATCTTCAACTTCACCTGCTTCTGAGAACTTCCCAATTAGTATATTGTAAGTCTTCAGATTCCCGCTACAGCCGCTAGCAAACATCTCATCCCACAATTTTTTAGCAGGACGCAATAAATCTTCTCTACAGCATGCTTCCATAAGAGAGTTATAAAATGAGATGTCTGGGGCTAAACCTTTCTTCTTCATCTCCTGAAGTACCATATATGCTTCTCTCAGTCTCCCTGCCGAACACAAGAATGAAATCATCACATTGTAACTCTCCATATTTGAGAAATAATCGTTTGCAGATAAAACCTTATAAACCTCCACCAATTCATCACTTTTGCCATGTTTACGTAAGTTCCTGCTCAAGTTACCTAATGTTAACAATGTTGGTAATCTCCCTTTTTCAATCATAAAATTTAAAAACGTGATTGCAGAACCAGGATCAATGCTTGATACCGATCCTATTAATGCATTTAAAACATCATCATCAATGGGAAAATTCCCACCAACAATCACTTCACCCAATTTTTTTGCTTCACATATCCGTCTCTCCAAAATCAAACCTAAAATAAACTCTCTATAATCGTTAGTTCTCGGAGCAACTCCCAGCTTTCTTTTCTTCTTCAAAACTGTTTCTCTTTCAAACACGCTCCCTATTAGTTTAAACTCTTCGGCAACAATCCTATACGCAATGAAGTCAGGTTTGCACTCTCTAATCCTCAACTCATCCAATACCCTATAAGCCTCTTCCACTCTTTTAGCTTCACAAAGCCCATGAACTATCAAAACTGCAATAATTGACCCGTTAATCACGGAATTATAACTCCTTTTAACATTATCTAACGTACTTAGTACTTGACCCAATTCGGCATTTTTACAAAATCTCCATATAAACACACCAAAACCAATAGTACTAAAATCTACACCTCTTTGAGTCATTGCATCAAACACCTTCAATGCACTATTAAAATACCCATCAGAAGCTAAAGCAGCCAATAGAGAGTTGCATATTTCAGGCCCGATTTCTTCACTTTTCGACTTGAGTTCACTAAACACCGAAAACGCTTTCTGGGAATCTTTCCCTTGAATCAATGAGCGAATTATAAAGCGGTAAACAGAAGAATCGAGAATGATTTTGTTTACTTTGACTTGCTTTAAAACAGAGTCGATGGCGTTGAACTGGCGGGAAAGAGACAGAGATTTAAGGACTGACTGATAAGAGAGAGAGGAGTGAGTAAAGTTGGGCTGTTGAGAGGCCCAGTTGAAGAAGCCAAGGGCGAGTGAGTGGTGAGTTAATAGATGCGGGTCGATAACTCCGGCTACCAAAGATGGACTCAGTGAGTGGCGAACACCGATTCGATGGAGAGTTTGTTCCAGACACGGGGTCCAAGATCGTGTTGGCCTTGTGTAGTTGGATGCCGAAATTAGTACCTGGCTTATCCGTGTCGCTACCTCAGTTGCCGGTCTCATGACTCATCCAAGTTGATTACCACTGCAGGCGTCGTCGAATACGACGAATAGCCGAGAGAGACATAAAAATTAAACGCGGCGTTTCACCATTAAAAGCGTATCTACATTTTTGTATTTATTATTTAAAATAAAGTAAACTAAACGTGGTGTTGCATCTCGCATGATGGTAAATGGCATAAGATTTTCTGAGTTGGATGTTTTAATTTGCTTGGTTAGATTAATATTCCCCCATTTGCCATTGTTAATTGTGGCAACCGAAATAGATTCAGCGCCTTCTGGGTTAATTAACAGAATAAGTTGTTAATTTGTATCCATTTTTAGATATTATTTTAAAAGAACTGTTCTTCTAAAATTCCTCGCAGTAACTGGTTCAGTTTCAGTAATTCAATATCATGGTTTACTGAAGAAATTTTTCTATGGCAGATGATTTTTGTATTTGTTTTCTTATGTTGGGATGAAATAAATTAAATTGCAAGATATCATCTGGATGAAAGAGAATAATATTCATAGTCAAACGTGAAAGCTGTGCCTAAATTCTGTTGCACTTGCCTCTGAACAAACAAACATATACAGTATATTTCTCTATTGTCTATCTGTTTCTCTATTTTCCCGTTTCTCTTCTCTTTTGTTTTCTTCAGTCCTGCTGCTAAACCATGGGTTCGGTTCTTATGGATCCCGTTGAAATTGTAGATTTCGGGAATATAAATGTAAAAGGATTCAAGGACGTCACAAGAATTTGCATGCCTCTTCATCCCTCCTCAAGTTTAAATCGAAAATGTTTCTTCCGATCCAACCCTTTGGAATGTGCTTTCACTCTTCTATTGTTGCAACTGTTTATATGGTCTGCAGTCATTCTCCTTGTCTATAGACTCATCAGGCCTCTCCACCCACCCCTTTTCGTCGCTCAAGTCTTGAAGCAATTTGCTTTGTTTTAATTTTCTTTTATTTTGTACTGATCATTGTTTTTGGTTTTCCAGTGTGGTATTGTAGTTGGTTCATCTTCTGGGATTGAGTTCCGAGTATATGGTATCGATCTTTCCCTCGATAAGTTTTATATTGATGGATGCATCACTCCCTCGGATTCATGTTTTTCTATTTCCTAATGGAAGTACAAATAGATTCATGTGTCACGGTTAAGAGTCTCACACCCAAAAACAGGGTTACAACAAAAAAATAAAATAAAATAAAATAAAAAACGAATCGAACCAGAAAATCGGACTGAAAACCAGTTCGGTTCGAGATTAAAAAATTTTACAAACAAAAAAACCGGTACGGTTAATGGTTTAAGAGTAATTGTGTTTGGGAAACTGATTTTCCCCAAACGTTAAAAGTTTTCCCCAACCCAAACCTATTTAACTTAAAACCATTATTTCTTTAAAAAGCCCTAATTTCACATTTCAAATTTTCAATTGACTTTGAATCCTCTCCAGCGCAAACCACCACCGTCTCCAACTCCCAACCCCACCACGTGACACCGTCATCTGCCGTCTTGATGCGACAATGTCTCCACTTACTCGCCGTCGCCAAAGCACCACTATGACTGCGTGACATTTCAAATCCCACCCTCTCCATCTGACCTTCTCCACTCTCCAACTCCCTCTTCGTCTTCGATTCCATTAAGCAATGAGCACAACTTCTGTTAGAGTGTTAGTCTATCACGTGCTGATTGAATATATAGTGTGTTTTTAGTTTTGGAATTGCGAGTGCTTTTGCTACTGTTACAGTGATTTTAAATTTTCAAAAGTGCTTTTTTGTTAATTTTATGTTAGGGGATTTCAAACCTTGAAAGTGCTCTTGAAGAAGAAGTGATATGGAGAAGAAGTGTTTTTTGTAAAAGCACTTGATTTTTGTGAAAACAGCAAGAAAATTGGAAAGGGAAATAGCAACTCAAATAATTAAAGTTAATCAAGGGGTGTTTTCAAAACCCGGTTAACTTAGAAACCGGTTCAAAGGGCATTTTGGTTCGGTTTCGGTTTCAAATACTCTTTGAACCGAAAAACCAATTCGGTTCGAGATAAGCCCAATTCGATTTGGTTAATCAGTTTTTTGTAGCCCTACCCAAAAGGCTAATCTATTAGGAGGAGAGACTCCACCCTTTATAAACCCAAGACCACCCAAAAGACTAACATATTAGGTGAAGGTACTCCTCTCTTATAAACCCAAGACCCCTAATTTCCCTTTCAATGTGGGATATGTGACATTCTCCCCCACCCAATCCTGTAACACCCCCATCACAGGTGAGACCCCCTACCTGCTCGTCCATCTCACCCTTGAGTGGACCCACAATCACACGTGGATGTCCTTCTGCGTGGGCGCTTGGTAGGACACCAAAAGATGAATGAAGTTTGCTTTGATACCATTTGTCACGGGTAGAGAGTTTCACACCCAAAATGTGTTATATTAGGTAGAGAGACTCTCACCCTTATAAACCCAAGACCCGCCATTTCCCTTCGAGATATGTGACAAATGGCTAATTAAGAAAATTGACAGAAGCTCAATCTTTATTGGACTTTGTACACTCGGCTTACCAACACTATTAAGCAAAGGTTTTGCTCATTTATTGATTCCTTTGTTAGAGAAACGGAGCTGGTAGCCCATTCACTGCTTCCAGTCGCCAAAATAGAATCCGTTCACTCATTCCCAATGATACCTTACTTCCTTGTCAAGCTCAGAATTATAAACATCGAGTTCAAATGAGTGGCATTGTCATTCTCCATGGTTGCCACATGCTACAATGTCGCAATGGTGGTTTCACTTAGCATGCCTTGATTAAGCAGTAAAAAATTGAAGTTGTTCCAAATAATTTGGTTTGGTATTACTATTGCCCTCCTACTTAACATTTTGGTCATCCATCTGGTGGTTTCTTGGATGTTAAGGAAGAATCCTAATGGTGAGCCATTAAGACAGGAGTTCATAACTTGGATAATTTTAGCAGTTTTAGTTACAGGGTTTTGTAGTCATGCTATGGGATTAAACTAGCATATTGGCTTTCTTATTCTTGGAATAACTTTACCAACAGGGCCACCATTATGCTCCCTGTTGATGGAGAGGCTTCATCTAATCACTTTTTGGGTGTTTTGCCACAATATTATGCCAGAATTGGTCTGCTGATAGATATCTATTCCATTTAAGAGAAAAACTTCCTAGTAATTTCAAGCGTTGTATTAATCGCTAAATCTGGGAAGTTTACATGAGCCTTTTTATCTTCACTCTACAGCTAAGCGCCAAAGAGAGATGCAATATCGCTTGGCTTAGTCATGACTTTCCAAGGTTTTGTTGAGCTTAACTTTTTTTAAATCATGAGAATCAGAAAGGTACACACACAAAATACACACACACACATTTGAAATTAGTTTTAACAATCAAATTATTTTGTAATTAATCATACTTTAGTAACACTAATCTAAAATCTTTTTAATTTGTTTGTGTTGGTATTTGTTAGAGAATACTAAGGAAGAAAGAGAGACTATAGGGAGAAGGTTATTACTAAGGTTTTCATTACCCATTCATTTACACAATGGGGGAAGTTTTATACACAAATTGTCCACTGTTACACCTACTTTGCAGTGGATATTTTTACAAACACAATCCTAACCATTCAAACTTAACTAATGCAAGTACATTACATTAAAAATGAGCCTTAATCACTGGTTGCATTCACCTAAACTATCACATAAACATTTCAAAAATAGCAGCTCCACCAACTGCTTTAGCACAACAGGTTTTCAAACTTAGTGTCAAAAAACTTACATCTTCAACCAACAACATTTCTTCATTTTCCAGTAAAATATCACTACCATCAACACTCCTTGATATTTTTGTTGGAAACACCAGGTTTAAGTCTTAATTCTTCAAACTTGGTTTTGCTCAAAGCTTTAGTTATGATGTTTGCAATTTACTCTTCACTTCTGCAATGCACCAGATCAACTTCTCCATCTTGTTCAACTTCCCTCACAACATGAAATTTGATCTCTATGTGCTTTGCTCAACCATGTAATACTGGATTTTTGGCCATAGCCACTGCTAATTTATTATCACAAAGGATAACTATAGGATTACATTGTTTCAACTTTAATTCATCTAAAATCTTCCTTAACCAGATTGCCCGATTCACAGCAACTACAACAGAGATGTACTCTGCTTCAATCGTGGATTGAGCTATAGTCTCTTGTTTCTTGGATAACTAGCTAAATGCTCAAGAATTCAAGAAGAATACATATCTAGAAGTGCTTCTCTTGTCATTAACTGAGCTATCCCAACGACTGTTTGAGTAACCTATTAAACTGAACTTTTCAAAGCTTCTAAACTAGATTCCAAGTTCTACAGTGCCTTTGACATACCTCAGCACTTTTTTGGTAGCCTTAACGCATATCTCACTAGGCTTATTCATGAATCTAGATAACAGACTGGTGGTGTACATGAGATCATGTTTCATTGTTGTTAGATACAACAAGCAACCTATTAGGTTTCTATACACACCTTCATCTATCTTCTCTGCATAGCTTTTGGCTTTGAACCAATGGAGTATCCACTGGCTTGCAGTTATCCATGCTGAATTTCTTTAAAACTTTATAAGCATACTTCTTTTGACATACAAATATGCCATTTGGAGCTTGGTGTACCTCCACACCAAGGAAATAACTAATTTCTCCCAAGTCTGTCATATCAAACTCCATTTGCGTTGCATTTTTGAACTTCATCAGTTGGTTAGCATTACTTCTAGTTACCAACAGATCATCAACATAAAGAGAAACAATGATCATCTCACCATTTTGCTTTCTTACATAGAGAGTGTGCTCATTTAGGCTCCTAACATAACCCAGGCTACACAAATACTCATTAATCCTGCTATACTAGGCTCTAGGAGCTTATTTTAAGCCATACAAAGTCTTCTTTAGCATATATACTTTGTTTTCTTTTCCCTTGATTTCATGTCCTTCAAGCTGCTCTATGTATATCTTTTCATCTAACCACCCATTAAGGAAAGTAGATTTCACATCAAGTTAGAAGATTTTCCACTTGAACTAGGCTACCAATGCAAGAAGGAGTCTAATGGTATCATGCCTTGCCACTGAAGCAAAGGTGTCTGAAAAGTCCACTCCATACTATTGTACAAAGCCTTTGATAACAAGTCAGACTTTGTACTTGTTCATAAACCCATCAAGATTCAAT